CAACGACTGTAACAGTCTTTAAACTCCAAACTTCATATAGAATAATCGCAAGATCGTTTAAAATACCTGAGATCTACTGTGATCGATGAAAATTGTCATATAGAGCACTAGATTTGACTCCCAGAATGCTGGAAATTGCATTTCCGAGCTTCTACATTTCCAAAATTGTCTTGGGGGGCAGCCCCCTAGCATAAAGGGGCCTTAGTCACGGCCGCCTATTCCAACATGGTAAGCCGCTTACTTCCAAAATTAATGAAACCCCTGGTGGAAGTGTTTTGGTAACTTTAATTTGCAGTTTCTGTAGCATTGACATATTCGACTGAACAGGTTGCTAACCCATGGCAGTCTAGATCAGTTGTCGAAGACTATGGGTCTGATCTCCCAGGTTTGTTTTCAGTCTCCTTCTCCTACATGTAGATCAGCAGCCTTCCAGGATCTGTCCTGGTTGTGAAGTTGGCTTTTTCTTTCGGGGATTCCTCCTGTAGCCCATGGGTCAAAACCCTTTTCTGTGAGCGCAGGATCTCATAACCCTGAGTGCGGGGCCCTAAACAGGTACTTGGCTGCTGGGCCAGCAGCCACCTGATCCTGGCATGGGCAGGGGCGGACCATCCCTACACAAGCCTATTCCTGGGCTGTGTGCTACCCTAATAATGAATATATTATGTAGTCTAATACTATAGGGTAGGCCATAGGGTAGGCAATAAGGAAGGCATTGGGTAGTCCTTATGTACAGCAAGTTATGGAGCAGATCTACCATTGGGTAGGTCACGAGGGCAAGTTATTGGACAGGTCATTGGGTAAGCCATAGTGTGGTCACAGGACAGGCCATTGATAAAGTCGTGGTAGGCCATAGGGTAGCTCAAAGGGAAAGTCGTTGGATAGATCATGAATAGTTCATAGGGTAGGTCATAGTGTAGGCCATACAGCAAGTCATGGAGTAGGCCATAGGGTGGCCATACAGCAAATCATGGGGTAGACTGCGGGGGAAAGTTATTGGAAAAGTCCTTGGGTAGGCCTTAGGGTAGACCATACAGCAAATCGTGGAGTAGGCCATAGGGTGGGTCATAGGAAAAGTTATCATGTAGGATAGGCTATGCAGCAAATCATGGGGTAGGGCCGCCATAGGAAAGGTCATTGGGTAGGCTGTAGGGTAGGCCATACAACAGGGCATGGGATGGGCCATGGGGAAGGTCATGAGGAAGGTCATTGGACAAATCATTGGATAGTCCATAGGGTCCCCCGATTAGGGTAGGCCATTGGATAGATCATAAGAAAGGTCATTGGAGAAGTCATTTGTTAGGCCATACAACAGGGTGAGATAGGTCATAGGGTAGGTTACAGAGACAAACCATTGGATAGTCCAAATGGTCCCCCATTAGCCCCATAGGTTAGGGTAGGCCATAGCGTAGGCCATACAGCAAGTCATATGGTATGGTAGGTCATACATGTAGATTAGGCCACAGGGCAGGCCACAGGGAAAGTCAATAACTGTCATTGGGTAATCCATTGGGTAGGCCATGTGGTAGCCCATACAGCATGGCATGTGGTAGGCCATAGGGTAGGTCATAGGGAAAGTCATTGCATTGGACGAGTCATTGGGTAGTCCATTGGTAGGCCATATGGCAAGTCATAGGTAGGCCATAGGGAAAGTCTTTGGGTGAATTACTAGGTAAGCTGGTGCCTAACTAAGCCATAGGGTAGATGATAGGGCAAGCCATATTGTACCCTTTGGGTTTAACCATTTGGCATATTAATGCTGAATACTTTGCTCACAAATTTAAGACAGGCATCAACAATGTCTGGATTGCTATCAGACATGGAAACAGAAAAGTGGCTGGCTACTTTGTTAGTAAGAGTGTGGACAAGATTGGATTCGGCTTCAACTTCTTACATAAAGAGGTAAGAATATCCAGATTGTAGTACTTTTGCATGATTACAATTTGCATCAACAGTTTCTTAAGAAGAATGTTCCACTCTACTTTACATTGGAAGTGAACATTGAAAACGTACAACAGAGGAATTGAAATTATCTTGAGCAACCATTCCCACATTCAGTGAAAACATATGTTGACCAAAGTTAGGGAAGTTTGGATCTAGTGATACATTTCTGGTCATAGAGTGTGAACTTTGAGTGGATTCATTCTTGCTGGACCGTTAACTATTTTATTTTTCTTCTCAAGACATGCCACTTGATCAATTGACATTTTGTGACTGGCCATTATTTTTATTGTACCTCACTACAAAACTGTAAAATGGTCCAACTTTTCCCACCAAGTTCTTACTAAATTTTCCTCCACCTTTTCTTCCACCATCCGTTCACTCTCAAGGATATTATAAAGTCTCCCTTTTGATGGTCATGCATTATTGTTATAACAGTAGTTCAGAGCATTTGGTGATGATGAAACCCCATGTTTTCTCTATTGTCTTTACTTGTCTCCTATATAATAATGTAAGGCAAGTATTTCTAAGGCACAAAATCATTTATCAGGTTTTGTTGAATGACAATGAAGACCTGTCCAACTTTAGAAGCCAGTCAGTCAAGAAAAAGCCTTTGGAAAACAAAATTGTAAGTACCTTAAAATTTTTTTCGAGATATTAAAGCCAATGCAAAGAAATAAATCACATTAGATAAGTTTGTGTGAAAAGGGAACGATGTCTCTTTCAAACATCTAAAACGTCAATGGTACTTACCCTTACAACAATAGTGTCCTTTTGGCATAAAATAAGTGGTATAATAATCAAATACTTGGATATCAAGGCTAAACTGGAAACCAACTGTTTTCGTGAGTTTTCTGTGTTTACTATCATCTTGTTCGTCATTATGTATATGTCACTTGATATACTTGTTAACTTCTCTTGTTCAGATTTTACCAATCCATGCTGCCTGTATTAATCCAAATGGTGATTACTTGAAAGCTCTGTTAAACTCGGTACCTGAACACAGTGTTCCAGACAAAGATGGCTTCAAACCAATGCATTATGCTGCAGCCTGTGAAGGTCCTGGCCCTCTAAAGGTGTTACTGTCAAGGTAATGTGTGCTCTGTAGCAGTCAGGAGAACAGGCAACAAATAATTACTCCTACATGAGCACAGAGAGGCAATGTGGCCGAATGGACTCTGAATGTGAGCCAGCTTAGGGTTCTTTCATGAAATAATTGTATTCTTAGGCAAGACACTTTTTCTCAGTGCTTCTCTCTACCCTCGAGTGTACATGGGTTCTAGCAAATATTTGGGGCAACTTACAAAATGCTGAAGGCAATCTGCAATGTACTAGCATCCATCCATGGATAAATAATTATAGTCGCTGACGTCTTTGGACATCAGAGTGCAGGTACTGTTGGCCACTTGGCCTGTGATGCATTGATACGTTACCGTCATCCTTTATGTACCATATATAGCAACCCATACCATTCATTGTCTACATGATTGTTTTGTAAGTTTTCATCAGTTGAAAATGGTTCTGTGATGGTTTTGAATAAGCTGATTTTACGTACATCCACAATACACAATATTAATACCACAACAACCATCTCCTGTCATGGCCAACAAGTTGTATATCAATTTTTTTCTTATTACAGTAGATTGGAGAATCAAGAATTTGTGATGTAAGCTAATTCACTTCTTGAAATTTGTCCTTACAGGGGGGCTGACCCAAATGATCCTGGGCCAAAAGGTGTCACACCTCTGATGATTGCTTGTAAACATGGGCGAGATGAGAATGTTAAAGAACTTGTCGCAATGGATGATCAGAATGGTGATGATGTAGAGGAAGATGGAGAACTAAAGAAATCAAGAGTGACAATTGATGTTAAGAATAAGCACACCAAGGCAGCAATCCACTATGCTGCTAAAAAGGGGCACCTGGTAAGCACTGCTGTTATTAGCTAAGTTGTGTTTGTCAGTGGCTCAGGTACATAGTGACAATAATAGTTAATGGCTTGGAGTGAAGAGACAGAGATTGAAAGTTGGAGTTTGGAGTTTGTCCCTGTGTTGTATTCTTGGGCAGCATGCTTCACTTTCTCATCTTAAGTGTATGAATGAATGAATAAAATGAATGAATAACTTTATTTGAGTTTCAATAGTATTTAGCTAAAAAAAACTAATTGGGGACACTATATAGAGCATTCAAGATAAAAATATATATAAAAATGTGCAAATATTATAGTTTTAAGGGTATAATAATAAGTAAAATATGAACCAAACTAATCTAATCTAATCTAATCACAAATTACATAAATTACAGTTTTTACAACCATCCGCCGTTAATCTTTTTTCTTAATACTGTCTGTGAAACTTTTGATATATAAATGAACAACCTGGAACAGATTCATGCATAGTACTCCAAGTTGTTGGCATGCTACAGAAACTTGAGTTAAGTTGCAATTGTAAGCAAGACTTTATCTTGTTTATCTGAGTTATAGTCAGTTGATACCTCTTATTTCATTAACATCATTATATACATGATACATATTTGCATAGTGTGGTACATGCGTCCTGTCTCCATGTGTGTCACCTAACAATTCAGATAAAGACATTTTTGAGATGCATATGAGCTCCATCATTTTTTATCAGAAAGCATTTTATGCAGTTTAATTTTAAGTTGTTATAATTATATGCATCACACATATATATAATTATATATATTTTCAAACAGAGCACCATAAAGTTGCTAGTCGCTGCAGGTGCCAATGTCGATCTCCAGACTGGCTCTTACAGAGGAAATGTGTCAGCCTTGATGCTGGCAGCTGCTCAAGGGAATCTGGATATGGTGAAAGCACTTGTTGATCTCAAGGCTTCCCCTGACAAGAGAGGTGAGATAACAGTTACAATATTCAGTTTTATATAGACAAGGAATAATTTTCAGTTTTTGCGAGCTTAAAATTTACCATCTTTCTATATTACCACACATGGCGCTTTTGACATTGCTGATCCTAGAAGTATGCAGGACTTGTGTCACATATGAACCTAGTAAATGAGTAGCTTGCCACGAACGAGTCTGTAGCCCTGTAGCTCAGTTGGTTAGAGCATCCAACTGTTGTGCGGAAGGTCATGGGTTGGCGTCCTGTTGGGGATTCAGATTTTTTCATTGTCCTATGCTCGTGACCAACTGAAATAACATCTTTCTCAAAAATTTCCTTTGTTTTTTCCCCACGAGGTATCTTGAGAATGCAGCCAGAAATGTTTTTGGAAACTTTTTGTCTACAGTCTGTTTTGATTAAAGAGAGATGTTTTCAGTTCGTTCTATCTGTTTTGTTGCCATAACTTGCTAATGATGCCGATGAAACAATCTAATAATTGTATATATTAGGTAAGTGGAAGAAGACAGCACTGATGTATGCAGTGCAAAATGGCCACTCACCAGTTGCGGCATATCTTCTGAGGATTGGTGTTGATCCATGTGCTGTAGACACATCTGGTAACACTCCAATTCACTATGCTGCAGCTTATGGCTGGCTACATTGCTTGAAGATGCTGATAAAAGCTGGAGTGGATCCAAATGCCGCCAACCAGTGGAAGGCAAGTATATTGCACATGCCATATCAAACATAAGCACTAACTGGTCTGGATACTTTAGACAACTACACATTGTTTTTATAGCGGCCTGTTTAGGATATGGAGTAAATGTCTTAAAGAGTTGTTCCACTTAGATACCTTCAAGGAGCAGGAACGTATGTTTAAGAATTTACTTTCATGTACATTATTATGCCACAGAACTATAGGGACACTGACATTGTCATTATTTTTATCACAAAAATACAAACCTGATTCTTGTGTGATACATTAAGCCACGTTTCTTGACTACAATGAAACTTCCATTAAGGGGACACCCTCAGGACAAGGAGAAGTGTCTCCTTAATAGAGGTGTCCCTTTAATAGAGTTGTCCCTTTAATATAGTTGATCCTTTAATAGAGGTTAAGAGTGTGTCCATGAGAAAACCAGGCAGGACCAAGCAAAAGGTGATAAAGCTCAAATCACCGATTTGGCTCAAACTTGGCACAAATGTTGGGTGTCATGAGTAACTAATTGTGACAAAACAATAGGTCAAAATATTAAAATCCCTGGGAGATATGGGCCCCCCGGAAATAATGGCCATTTTGCACTAATTTATGCATAATTAATTAGCTGACTTTGGTTGAGCAGTTCTACAATAAGAAAAACTCTCTGAAAATGAAATCCACTGGATCATGTTGTGCATTTATCGGACTCAAAGTACAATAATTTATTTCAGCTGATCGATTTGATTTCTAGCCCTCACTCAATCTTAAGTAAAGGACACATTTTGAAGTGTTGGCCATAGCCTTGAATTAAAGCGAAATATCTGCAATGTGCAACAACCTATATACATTATTCTTACATGGTTAGTGAAAGGAAGCACTAAAGTTCTCAAACCAGTCATAAAATCTTTGGGGACTTTAATATTTTATCAGTGCTGACCTACTATAAATACACAACTAAACGATTTTTGGTCATTTCATCAAAATTCACTTAAACACAAAAGCCGTTTATTTGTCTTAATGTAACACGAAATCGTCAACAAAACTCTAACTAAGCATCCTTCTATCGATAAATAGTCTAGAATCTGTGAAAAGAAGGACTTGAGGCATTTCTTATAAATATTTCAAAGCTACATTTTATGGCCTTTTCGTGACATCGTTGTCAATACAACAGTGGACGATATATTTCACAAGTTCACTCAATCCAAGTTTTACATGCATCACAGAATGGGAAAATGAAATAAATGCTACATACATGTCATCTAGATGCGATTTTGCCACGATTTTGTGCTCTCTTCGATTCGTTTGATGTCCAGTTTCGTCAGACCGTGTCATCTGTGTGCCATTGATTATTTGCTTCGAGGCGCGTTTCAATGATCCATCGTTGCCCATTCTTCGTCAAATAAATAAACAGGTTGTTGCTTTTCTACATATAGTCGAGAAAGGTTGTTTGAAATCCACGGAGAGTCACTACCGGCTATTAAATGTATATAAAATCTCATGACAAAAAGTCCACCATCTTTGGTAAAATAATTTCGAGCCTGCTGTTTCGGTCAGCGGTTCGTTAATTCTGCATGTCTTGTCACGCAGGATGTCACGGAGTGTTTGTTAGTTATAAATATAAACCGGGTAAATAACCCCTTTATATCCGATCGATAAGCTGAATAATTTGAAATCTTATGAACCACTTTAACGACTGTCTTGATATTCGACCACAACTCTAAAGTTGCAAGCCATGTCACACTGTAGCCTGTGAGTTATGTCATGTCTGCGCTGGAGTGCTATAGAGCCGAGTTTGATGGGCGCGGAAACTGCGAAGGAAGAAACGCGCAAGAAAAGCGGAGTTCTCAACAAGTGAGCTTTCTCATCTCGCACGTCTCTTCCATGATACGCGCCCGTCCGACTTGCGCTTCCTACTACTCCGCATTCTCGTCCCCAGAGTCCGCGATCCTTTTGGTCAGCACCAAGGAATCTCGGACAAATAGAACAAATTTTTTGATTGGCTGTTTAAAGAATGAACAGACAAAAGACAATAGAAAACGAGTACTCTGCGCAAGCTCAGAAAGTTGGTACCAGCCGGAGGTCGTGATTTCTTGGTTGGTGCTGACCAAAAGGATCATGGAATCTGGGTACGAGAATGACTACTCCGGCGTGAAAGTGACTTTTTCTGGAGTCCTGGCTGTCTGCGAGAGGCCCGAATGCTGGGAACGACCACATCGCAATCCCACAGGTCTTAAAATGTCTAACACGAACATGGGCGTAGTTTTCGGACTGCGTTTATTTAAATAAGGCGAAACAACGTTCTTTAATTGGTCACGGGTGCTAATATCGCCTGTAAATTTGTCAACCTTTTGCAAGCAGATATATCTTTTTTTTGTAATATGCTTGTAAATCAGCTGTACATTTTTCGCAGCTGCTTGTAGCATATCGTGTCTGGCCATCTTGTCAGATAATGCCCTCCGCGGCAGGGTTCGGGCGGCGATGCTGTCTCTTGTGCCTTTCTAGTCCTCCCACCGCTGGTTCTTTGCCATGGCGCCCTCCTGGATGGTTCACTTGAGGACTTTCATACCGACATGGCAACGATGGTATCGATCGAGGGTGTAACGTCAGCCGCCTTCCCGATGCTCCATATGGCGTAAAACAGGGTGTATGATAGCTCCCATGCTGTTTCTCATCTTTCTGTCGGTCATGCTGCATGGAAAATATACCAATGGACCCACTCAAAGGCATATATATATTCGCACTCGCTCGGACGGCAGTTTATTCAACCTTGCCCGTCTGCAATCTCACAGAAACGCTGGTCAAATGCATTCGGGAGCTTCGGTATGCATAAGACTAGCCACCTCAGATATCCAACAGTTACTCACGATTGATATTTCGCCCGATTATCCTTGGTGTTCGGGCTCACCATCAACGGGAAGAACACCAAAGGCTTCTACCAGCCGCTACCATGAGGCATACACCAAACCCAAACGGTCTGGGATAGTGGGGAGCGCAATTCGCGCGCGCTCCCCACTATCCCGAACGCCTGGAACAGGCTAGATGCACGGTTGAACGCGGCCACTAGCTGCCATCTTTTGAAAGGCAGACTGTGGAACCTGGCATCAATTAATCAGAATCAGGACAGAGATCAAAGTCTACCGCGCTGTTGTCCTGTCGGCAGTACTCTACTCGGCTGAAACCTACACACTTTACTGTCGGCACTTCCAGATACTTTCAGTGGTCCAGCAGAGACATTCGCGGAACCTAATCGGGGAATTACTTGGAATGATCAGATCACAAACGTTGAGATGCTCCGGTACGCCCAGATGCCCGTACATTGAAGCAATTGTCCTACATATGCAAGCTGCTGTGAACAGGTCATGCCCTGCTGAGTGCCCGACGCGGATATCCTAACGGAGAACTGCAAGCAAGGTAGCGATGTCGTGGCCGCCCACTCCTCCGCTACAAGGACGTGGTCAAGCGCCATGTAGCCGCTGCCGCCGTCAGCGACTGGGAACAGTGATCTAGCTCAAAACAGGATGATATGGCAGCGAACAGTCAGAGAAGGCGCCGTGACAGGAGGACCAACAACTCGAGAAAGGCACAAGAGACGGCATTGCCGCCCGAACCCTGCCGCGGAGGGCATTATCTGACAAGATGGCCAGACACGATATTCCGCAAGCTGCTTCGAAAAATGTACAGCTGATTTACAAGAAAGATATATCTGCTTGTAAAAGGATGACAAATTTGCAGGCGATTTCAGCGCCAGTGTTTGCGTTTTATGAAAGTCAAACGTGACGTAGTGCGATCCCAATTATACCCGTGATCAAAATAAAGACATTTGGGCCTCTCGCAGACTGAGCCAGAGCCGGAGTAGTAGCTATAGGGAGCGTAGGTCGGACGGGCGCGTACGAGGAAAGAGACGTGTGAGATAAGAAAGCTCGCTTGGTGAGAACTCCGCTTTTTTGCGCGTTTCTTCTTTCGCAGTCTCCACGCCCATCAAACTCGGCCCTATACTACTCCAGCGCAGACATATGACATAACACACAGGCTACATAAGTTCCTGGAGAAGTTTGCTTCATGTCTAGTGAGGTCCTCAGAATTATGAGGATAAGGGATAACTGATCAACAGTGTCAACCTCGTCAAAGTCCATTTGATATTTTCTTTGATGGACATGGAGTTGTGATCGAATATCACGACATTCGTTAAAGTGGTTCATAAGATTTAAAATTATTCAGCCTAATATTGATCGGATATAAAGGGGTTATTTACCCGGTTTATAACTAACAAACGGTCGTGACTAGAATGTATACCCCAAAATAAGATCAGACGTTACCCCAACCCACAAAAGAAAGCTAATCATTCTCAGAGTTATAGTGGGCTAACCGGGGTGCTATAGTAGGCTAACCGGGGTGCTATTCTCGGGCTAATCAGTGTTTTTCTCGGGGCTAATCAGTGCTATAGTAGGCTAATCTTATTTTGGAGTATCCATTTAAGGCATTGACATGTCTTGACATCCTGCGTGACAAGACATGCGAACCGCTGACCGAAACAGCAGGCTCGAAATTATTTTACCAAAGATGGCGGACTTTTTGTCGTGAGATTTTATATACATTTAATAGCCGGTAGTGACTCTCCGTGGATTTCAAACAACCTTTCTCGACTATATGTAGAAAAGCAACAACCTGTTTATTTATTTGACGAAGAATGGGCAACGATGGATCATTGAAACGCGCCTCGAAGCAAATAATCAATGGCACAGATGACACGGCGTGACGAAACTGGGACATCAAACGAATCGATTAGAGAGCACAAAATCGCGGCAAAATCGCATCTAAATGACATGTATGTAGCATTTATTTCATTTTCCCATTCTGTGGTGCATGTAAAACTTGGATTGAGTGACATGTGAGTGAACTTGTGAAATATATCGTCCACTGTTGTATTGACAACGATGTCACGAAAAGGCCATAAATTAAAATGTAGCTTTGAAATATTTATAAGAAATGCCTCAAGTACCTATTTTCACAGATTCTAGACTATTTATCGATAGAAGGATGCTTAGTTAGAGTTTTGTTGCCGATTTCGTGTTACATTAAGACAAATAAACGGCTTTTGTGTTTAAGTGAATTTTGATGAAATGACCAAAAATCGTTTAGTTGTGTATTTATAGTAGGTCAGCACTGATAAAATATTGAAGTCCCCAAAGATTTTATGACTGGTTTGAGAACTTTAGTGCTTCCTTTCACTAACCATGTAAGAATAATGTATATAGGTTGTTGCACATTGCAGATATTTTGCTTTAATTGAAGGCTATGGCCAACACTTCAAAATGTGTCCTTTACTTAAGATTGAGTGAGGGCGAGAAATCAAATCGACCAGCTGAAATAAATTATTGTACTTTGAGTCTGATAAATGCACAACATGATCCAGTGGATTTCATTTCAGAGAGTTTTTCTTATTGTAGAACTGCTCAACCAAAGTCAGCTAATTAACTATGCATAAATTAGTGCAAAATGGCCATTATTTCCGGGGGGCCCATATCTCCCAGGGATTTTAATATTTTGACCTATTGTTTTGTCACAATTAGTTACTCATGACACCCAACATTTGTGCCAAGTTTGAGCCAAATCGGTGATTTGAGCTTTATCACCCCCTGCCTGGTTCTCTCATGGACACACTCTTAATAGATACAAAGATTATATCAGCGTTAATTTTGCTGGGACAAAACGTTTGTGTCCCCTTAAAGGAGGTGTCCCCTAAATGGAGGTGTTCCATAGTAGGGGTTCCACTGTATATGCATCTGCAATGGTCACTGCCACTTGAGGTGCTCACCCAAAACAGATGGACGTCTATTGTTTTAACACACTGTATTTTCAGGTTACCCCACTGGCCATAGCTCTGATGAAAGACCAGATGCCTTGTGCTGATTATCTTTTAAGTCTGGAAAATGTTGATGTTAACTTTCCTGATGACTGTGGACGCACGTTGCTTTGTCAAAAGCTCCGCTCTTCAACTCTTAATGAGTTGCTGTTGCAGAAGATGACATATCTCGTGGAGAAGAAAGGTGCTGATGTCAACAAAGCTGATGTTGAGCAATGGACACCGGTAGGTTACAAGTCTGTTTTAAACCCCTCAGTGCTTAGCAGACTTACATGTATCGTGCAATAACAGTAGTTAACCCCACAGTGAAAGACCTCGGCATTTTCAAATACCATACCATACCTCTTGGATACAATTTGTATAATAGGCCATTTCCAAGTTCCCGTTTGCCTCTGTTTCAAAACGAGTCCTGGTGCACAACCTTTGTTATGGAAATTCATTTTACCTGCATGTACTGTGTCATGCAAATCAAACTGATTTCCATAACGGTTGTGCACTAGGAGTCGTTTTGAAACAGAGGCAAAAGGCAACTCGGAAATGGCCTATTGTTTTCTGGTTTTAACAGCAATTGGAATAGTGAAAATGATATTTATTCTGTAGACCAGCGGTTCTTCGTGTCACTTGGGTTAGGGTTATGGATTGTATAATAGTGTGCTCCAAATTGTCTCAATGTGAGACTATTTCAATATAAAATGTGCAAACCAGGTTATCCAGCCACAGTGAATGCGTATTGTCTTTGGTAGATTGGAGTGAACAAGACAAAGTGTTTAAGGTTGCCTGATGTCTTATACAATTCACAATCTGATTGGCACCATTCAAACCTTGAATTTTCTATCACCATTCAAACCTTGAGTCTTTTATGTCTGCGGATGAAAGCTATTGAATGAGTAGCACTTCTGTCTCTATTTTATATTTTGAAAAATGATTTTTTTTCCAATTTTATTCTTCACCCTCTTGCGCGGTATTGGCTCAAAACATTTACTTATTGAGTTTTATTCTTGCGTTCAGCCTATAGCCGCATGGTATTACATGTACATTTGTACCAGTTGGCAGTGTCCAGGTGACATATGATTTTTCTGGTGGAGGGGGATCCCCACATGGCCACCAAGTTGCAGATGTTCTGGCTGTTGTTGAATTATTTCTTATTTTTGTTGTTGCAGCTTCATTATCTGGCCGCTAACTCCATTTTTGAAAGGCAATCTTCACTTTGGGTAAGTGTTCTTGTACATTGTTTTATTATTAACTATATGTGAACCATTTTTCATAAGGTACTTAAGTATAATAATTATTGATAATGAATATATGACTGAAATCATATTATGTGAACTGCGGAAATGAAATGAAATAAATAAATGATCATCGCAGTTATGAATGCAATTTAAGCAATTGCAATTTAAGCCTGGAAAAAAATTCAGGCTTAAATTGCAATTGCTTAAATTGCATTCATAACTGCGATGATCATTTATTCATTTAATTTCATTTCCGCAGTTCACATATATGATTTCAGTCATATATTCATCATCACATTATTCATTCCTATCACGGGTGTATAAACTCACAATTGACCTGCTCCCAATGTGTGGCTTCATAACTCAGTTGGTAGAGCATCACACTGGTAAGGTGAAGGTCATGGGTTAAATCCCGTTGAAGCCTGAATTTTTTTCAGGCTTAAATTACAAGTGCTTAAATTGCATTCATAACTGCGATGATCATTTATTCATTTAATATAATAATTCCAAAATTGCGAAAGAGCAATAAGCAAGTAAATATTTTAAGAAAGACAACGACACTTTTAAATTTAGAAAACATGTTTTGGATGTACAGCATCCATATAATATAATAATTATATAATATATATAATATATAATATATAATATATATAATAATATAATATATAATAATTATTATAACACAACTAATTTCAAACCTAAAATGTTCATCAAACTAAGTTTTGGAATCATCAGTTTAAACAATGTTTATTTAATGTAAGCATGTACATGTAAGCATTAGTATATATAGTTTATTCCAATCGAAATGTGGTTATGTACCTAGCTGGACATGCTTTGATTACCAAAGCCTCTTTGGTGTAGTATCTGAGATGCTTTTCATCAACATGGTTGTCTGGTTTTCATTTTCATAGGGTCCTACCCTACCTCCATTACTGATGATGTCGATGGCTGATGTGTCATGTCGATTGGCCAGACTCTTTATATCAGCTGGGGCAGATGCCGATGCTGTCAATAAAGAAGGGCAAACACCTATTATGGTCGCCATCTTACAGGTGTGTGTGGTTTTAGTTAACTAGTACACTTTCATGTATGTTGGCCTGAATATCAAAATCATTCATTGTGCTGATGCTGTCAACAAATAAAAGTAAACACCTTAAGTTTATGAATAACAATTTGTTGTTCCTTGTTGACAGTGGTGTAATTAAACATAAGTTACGACAAGTCCAACAGTGCTGGTACTTTCAGCAATGAAATGAAAACAGTTATGGCTCTCTTGTCTGTGTGTGCACAAAATCCTTGAAACCCCAACACTTAAAGCCCATTTACACACTACCCTGAACTTGCACAACTTGGATAATAGATACCATGCTTGGATCACCAAAATAGGTATTTCAAGCATGGGTAAAATTGATACAGGTACTATGTATGTCACAGTCATCACTTTTAGTTGCAACTGAGCTAATACACAGTGGATTACTGTCTGTAAATTGACTTAACGAAGACTAGTAGCTACTTCAGATTTTTTCGCACCACTGTTTTAGACGAATCCAAGAGAACAATCATGCTTCCTCTTTTAGTACATGCAAGTTAACACATCTCTAGGCATCCTTCACATGCCAACTGAACAGTAATACCGTAATACTTTTTATACTTGCTCTTGCTGTTAATATTACATGTACATCTTAGAATACACACAATTGCAACTTCGAATACAAACAATCTCCATGTGATTCTTTTAAGAACAATTTTCCTCTGATTGAGACACTGTTGGAATGTGGAGCCAAGGGTTCAGTGGGGAAAGATAAAAATGGTTCCCAAGTGCTTCATTTTCAAGCAGGGAAGACTGATGTACTGGACTTATCTAATCTGTACCCAGATGCTCAAGTTGTAAGTGATTTATTTGATATATTTCTTTCTCAAACTCATTAACAATTCATCAAGTAAAACAAAGGGAATCATAACCGTGTCGGAGGTTTGGATACCTGGTCTTAGTTAGCATATATTTTTACGATTTTATCTCCCCATTTACTCCTTAGTTTTTGTTTCGATTGAGAAGATATATCAAACACTTGAGACAGTGTTTCATCCGATATCCAAACACCTCAAATTTTGTCAAAAATACTTTGCTGCACATTGTATTTTCAACTCTCTTCTCAGTGTTTTGAAATCGGATGAAATGCGCTCTCTCTTGTGTCATATATCACATAAATGATCGCTTGGTAAAGGCCAACACAGGATCCACATGTAAACTAACGCTTTTCTGGACAGAACATGGCCCCTGGGTAGCACTTCTGGCTATGGCACACACTTTTCTATCTCCTGTGGACACGAATGCATTACAAGAAATGTACAAGAGACACAATGTTTTTATTTTTGATAGATATTTAGGAATTTTCTGTCTAAGCATAATATGGATATAATAAGGGGTTTTATTTTGGTTCTGTTTTTTTAATTTCTATTCCTCGTACATAAGAGTTGCAGAGAAAAATTAAACACATATTAGTGTGTTGATTGTTTTCAGCTTACATTGGTGCAGTATAAAAAGCCTTCCCTTCTGAAAAGGGAAACATTGTTTAATATGTAAATATGTGGTTTTGTGTTGATTACCAGGACGTAACTCTCAAGGATCTATTTGGAAATAGTTATATGCCTCTGCCTCTGCACAGAACTTCATAAGATGTTGACATAGATTGCAGCCACTGTCACACCTTTATACAAAGGCAGAAAGATTACTATGACTTTGTGGTTTTGCGTTGATTACCAGTGCCTAATTTATAAATCATATTAAGGAGCCATTTGGATCTGGAAATAATTTAAGCCACATTGTCACTGGACTGCATGTTATTGGTAGTTTAATAAGTTGCTAGATGTAGAATATCTGTTACAAGGAGATAACCATTGTTTTCCTTATCAATCATCTCTAGGTATTGTCTGGGAACAGTTCCGAGCAGCAGGAACAAAAGCAGAAGCACTTAAAGTCTTTGGTCATGAGAGCAAGTAATGAAATGATGGAGAAACTGATTGCTGGAGGAGCAGAGATAAATTGTGTTAGATCAGATGGTCTTTCACCTCTCATGTTGGCACTATCTAAGGTAATTGATGTTGGATGGTGAACATTTATGTTACTTATACAGAAGTGTGAGAGGTGCAGTGGCTTAAAGGTCAAATGCAACGAAATTTGGCATTTTTTTCTTTTGTCGCGAAAACTGTTCTTTATACTAGCATCAATCATGCTCAACCCTCAAAAGCTGGTTTGGGGCGATTTGTGGCGCGTATAAGGCACGAAATTCGAAAATTTCCGAGAATTTCCGACGGCTTAACGAAAACGAACCAGGAATGACCGCGCTTGGAATGGAAACGAATTTGCTGTTTTTGTGACGTCATATGTGGTGAGCTTGCTTTCACGCGCGTGTTTTCGCGCGTGTTTTCAGCAACGAGTGATGGTCGATGCGAAGAAGCTTTTACTGAATTTCTCACATTATATTGCTCTCTTATCATTGACACGTGAATGGAGAAGTACGCAGTGGAATTAAAGAGCTTGCATTTCTTCAAAAAGGCGAGTGCTCATTTGATTTTAACCGACAGAATTTGAGTTTGTTGTTGTTTTGGAAATCTTGAGTTTCACCGCCCGCGCTAGCTAGCTTACGGTTTTTAAATTACAAATCTCCGTGTTTAGACTCAATTCCTTAGTTTTAATCATTTTCTTTTCGTTTCTCCTTTTTACTAAACAAACCTTCCGTTAAGTTTCATTCAAGAAAGAACCTAGTGACTCCAGATCGGGTGGTCCAAGTTTGGGGTCATTGTGTTGTAATCTTCGGCAAGATACCTAACTCTCACATTGCCTCTCTCAACCCAGGAGTAAATGGGTACCAGGGAATTGTCAACAAAAATGCTAGGGGCTACCTGCGATGGACTAGCATCCTATCCAGGGGAGTAGTGATACTCCTAGTCGCTTCATGCTATGGAACCGGAGTAAACTGCAGGCCAGATACACCACTAGGCTTGTAGACATACTTTAACCTTAATACAGAAGAGTTGTATTTAGTAAACCTTTTCAAGACTGAAAAAAACATTTCATGGGTTCTGCCAAATCAATGGTAGTCATTATGAACAACTTTTTCTGTACTAAGACGACTCATTGAATATGTATTATTTAATGGAAGGGTTTATTTAATTATTGTTTGGCTCTCTTACAGGGGAACATGGACCAATTTTCAATGCTTCTTGATCACGATGCAGATCCTAGCATGGGACTTGAGAGGACTGGAAGAAACCTCCTCCATATGTTAGCTACCAGATGTACTGAGCACGACCTGCACACTTGCATGAAGGTTGTTCTCAAGAAGGTATAGGAGATCAGTATTCTAAGTTCTCCTTAAATACCTGACAAAATTCAGACGTGCAAGTCATGAGTACTTATCACTTGTGGTAGTTATATGGGGTAAGCTCCCACTAGCCTCCTGTGCATGTGCGGAAGGTCATTGGTCCGACGCCTGTTGGGAGAACTCTGAATTCTTTTTCCGAGTAGCTTGTGTCACTTTGAATGAATAACTTTCTCTTACCATTATTTTCTTCCATGCTTATCTCACATATGAACAAAACTAATCCACTAGTATGCAGGAGGTTTGTCACATTTGAACCTAGTTATACGGCCTAAGCTCTCGTGAGCCTCTTGTAGCTTAGTGTAGTTGCACCCGACCGGTACGGGGAAGGTCATAGGTTCAACTACTGTTGGGAGAACTGAGTAGCTTGTGTTACTGACTGAATAATATCTCTCTCAATATATTTCTCATTGTCTTGATACATGTATATAATGAAATTCTCTCTTCTTTGCCATATAAATTGCTGACAATTATGGATTTTATTGGTTAATTCTAAATCTTTGTCCTGTCAAATGCTAGACCACTCCAGAAACTCTCAAGCAAATGGCCAACTTAGCTGACAACAATGGCTTCACTCCTCTTCTACAAGCCTGTGAGACCATAGCATCATCTCCTCCTAACAAGGTGTGCCAATAATTATTTTTGATGGTTGTTTTATGTACCTTATATTAGTGTTGCCATAGTGTGGCAGAGGCAAGGTAAGCATTGTCTGCCATCATCTAATTGATCGTTTCTTCATTTTGATTGGTTAAGAGAGCAGTACGTCACCTTTAAAAGAGCTATGTCATGGATGACGCATCTTGAACATATTGGCCAATTTTTATGTTGTGTTACACAAACACAACATCTTAGTTGATGTGGAGCTTTTGTCATGGCTCACTCGATCACTCTCTCCTAAGATGTTGACTTTTGGAAATTTTAAACAAACATATGGAAAATTAGATTACGAGATTTTGCTTCTAACATCCCTTCAAATACTACTGCAACAGCGCAAGGTATATATTTTTTCTTTTGTGTCGTGGTTTCCCTTATGGTACTTTTGCAAAAGACGCATGCGTGTAGCGCCCAAATTCGGAATATAATCACCAGAAGCTCTAATTATTGACCTGATTTCCTACAAGTCACTGACGCGATTTGCCCCAAATCAGGACATTTTAGGGAAAAGGACAATTTCTACGACTAAAAACAGGAAAATGTATTGAAAAAGCTAGTAACTTAAATGAAATTTATGCGCCAAAACCACAGTCACGAGTGCTTGTTTTCTACCTATAAACAAAGCGTAGAGAATGCATTAGCCATGCCTTTCAAGCTTCAAAGTCTGTTCAATACAGAGGCCATCTCCCTAGGCTGTACGAGCTGAAATATTTCCTGAAGTTTATCAGCGTATTGAGTTTATTACAGGAATCGCATCGAAAATTATATATTCGGAAAGCAAAGGCGAATGTCAGCAGGCAAAATCACTGTTGCAAAATACATGTAGTCTGTATAAATATGACTGTGACCTTTAGCACGTTATTCGATCACTTTAACTTTACACCATACCAAGGTCTGTTTCATGATGTGTAAACGCAATGCGTGCGTTATAACTCGACTATTTTTGGCCTACGATGTTAGCAAATTGAACTTTGAATCAAATCGAATCAAATCAAATCGATTATCGTGACACAACATGGCCTAAGGGACCCCTAGTTTGAAGTTCGCTATTTGCAATCCATCTTAAACGTCTCCATCCCCAACCATCCTTGCTCCTGTGTTTGGTTTATTATCACCTCTTGTGTCTTTCTACCTTAAACTATTATTTTGAGGCTTTCTTCAATTTGAAGGTGATTTTGCACTTTTCAAAAATATATGCCCACTGATAATGCTCTGCTCCTACGCATTACTACTTCCCATGCTTGCTGAAATAATTAGCATTTTCGGAAAGTGTTCAAAAGGCTTATTTTCTCCAAACGAGGTCAATAAAATGTCTGGTGATCTGCTCTCAACAACAGTCATGATGATAGAGATGCTAAATGTTGTAGTGTCTTACAGCTTACATGTAAAATGTTTAAATGTTTAGAGTGTCCATTTTTCCGTAATAGAAATAGCTTCTCATTTGCTCTCTCAACCCTACAGGAAAAAAATGAGTTAGTCAAGGAATTTCTCAAGGTAAATTCACAACGTTTTTGATTAATTCACTCACTTACAGGTATTTTAACTCTGGAACGTACATCCAAAGACATACGCCTACGGCCACGACCATACATGTGGGGGAGGGTTGATGTAACCCCCCCCCCCCCCCCCTGGGTTTTTGTTATTATCCGACACATCGAAAGCATTATGCCTTTAGTAGATAGCCTTGAGCTTGCTCTACAAGAGAAGATGGTTGCTTGTTGCTCCAATATGTCAACATCCGCCATCTTGGATCTGCTATCTTGGATTTCCCTATTTTCTCATCAATACAAAATTATTCCAAAACAATATTGGGTTGTTAAAATGTACTAAGTAATACTGCAATGTTGCTTAAGAATTTGGAATTATTATCATTACAATGAAGATATTATTTCTGAAAATTCGAAATTTGGGTAAACCTGCATGACATTATGCGGTTACCATGGCAACGTCAAAAACAGTGGACCAACAGTTGTCACATCGAAAGGTCCGCAAGGGATGAATGAAGAGTTACTGAAAGTTCTAAGATCCAGAGCAAATCCCCTTTTCAAAATTGTGAAAAACCTCATGGGGGTGGCATGTATGAGGTTTAATTCTCTGCTTGACAATAAACTGTTTTTCACTTAGATAATTTCCGTAAGGCCAGTAGGCAGGAAATAATCTTCAAGAGAGTCACGACTTTTTTTAATTTAGTATACATGTTTCGGATGATCCTTCATCCATCTTCAGTACAAGTAACAGAACACGCTAGTGGGTGTGATATAAATATAAGAAAAATACAATGGTATGGAAAATATAGCTAATTGCAATGTGGCAATAAATGTAGAACATATAACTAATTACAACTAGACAAGAAATATAGAACATAAGACTAATTACGGCGTGACAAAAATAAAGAAAAAAACAGAACAGAGAATATATACTGATAAACAAACAAAACTAAATAGCCAGTGAAAGATTGACATGACTTAGATAATTATGTTAACACCAACTGTAATGCTTCACAGTATGGTTGCTTTTTATCAGATGCATGACATTGCACTTTGTTTTAATCTACAGACTCTGATTGACAAGTTTGGTGCCAGTGTAAAAGCAACAGTTGGGAAAATCAACAAAGGGATAAATGTATGTGATTACCTTGATAAAAGACTCTGTTGTCACTTGCTTTAAACACCTTGATATCTGTCTGTTCTAGCAAATTTCTTAGCCCTTGAAAGTGTACATAGCAGCGGGTGCCATTTTGCATTCTTTGCCTCAAAGAGCAACTTGGCCAAGCAGTATGGAAAAGCAATATTTCACCTTCAGAATCCAACTTTAAGACAATTCATGTGGTTCTAACTATAGCCTGAAGAATCATACAGCTTTCATTGGCTATTTTCACACAAGAGATAGATAACTCATCCGAATTTCCAAGGGCTGTAAGTTTTACAGACGTTTATGCACTCTTGTGCATAATTTACATCTTATATTTAGTGACAAGTGTTTTATGTGGCATATTTCATTGCTTATCACACTGTTAACCCTTCCACTCCCAAAGTCAAACCTTGAGTCAGTAAATGTGGTTATAACTTTTAGTCTGTGAATGAAACCCTCGTGTGTGACCATTCAAATGAAAGCTATGGAGCAGTTTTTTCAAGTGGTGTTTTTGTTTTTGACAATTTTGCAAAATGAAATTCAAAATGTTTTCCTCAGTTTTGAGCTTAGCACTCTTGGGAGTGAAAGGGAATAAACCTGTTTCCTTGGCTCTGTTTTCTTTAGGTACAGTTGAGAAATCCTGTAACTTTTGGTTTGAAAAAGGAGAACGGTAAGGAAGAGCAGATCTCGCAAAAGTACAATGATGACGACGACGACGACAGTGACAATGAGGATGTTGATAATCATGATGATAGTAACATTGACAATGACAACAACGACGATGAAGATAATGATGATGATAATAACATTGACAATGACAACAACGATGATGAAGATAATGATAATGATGATGATGGTGATGATGATGATGATGATGATGATGACGATGATGGTGCTAAGGATGTTGAAGAGAACGTTTCTAATGGTACATACATAGCAGTTATTTTAATACACCAAATTGATTTATACATGACACATTTTAAAACTTAAAGTTCTGAATAAAAAATAATAAAATAAGTGAACAGTTTTCTTTCTTCCAAGACATAATTTATTGTTTGCCAAAATGGCTAGAGGGAATACAAACCAAAACTATTTAACTCATTAATAACTATGCAACCATTAGTGCAACCATAACTGTAAGGACCTGTTTTACGTCATGGCAAAAAAACCCTTTGATTTAAACTATACTTAATGTAAACAAAAATATAATTAAAAAGTTCTCGCATGCGAGTGTTCAGTGCCATAAAAATGTGATAAGTCCAAATGTTTCGGGCTTAGCCCTTCATCAGTGGAATGTTCTTTACGTACATCTTAGTTTATTGTTTAAAGCTGTCAGAGGAACTCTTGTTAAAGGTCTCTGTCCATTAGGTGTTCTGCCTGCTTGCTCTAATTGTAGTTACATACGTTATGAGAAGCTATGTTGCAGTAGTATGTAGTCATTTATTTGCGATGTACAGATTTGAATTACAGGAATTAACCTTGAAATAATGTTCCAGAATTGTAGAAAAAAATCAAAGAAGTAACTATAAACCAAAAGAGAACAGTATGCTTAAGATTGGGTCGATTGAGATGGATTACAAATGACAGACTTCAAAAATTTAGGCTAAATATTTTCCTTTCACAACAAGTTGCTCCACCTAAATGCTGCCATCAACTTTGTTTATACATGAACATGTGACTATATAAACTGTACATGTGCATGATGTGAGGTGTGTATAATTATAATGGCAACAAAGCTTAACTGAGCTTAACATTTCCCATCTTTACATTTATTACTACACATGACGCTTTCGACATTGCTGATCCCAACAGTATGCGGGACGTGTGTCACATATGAACCTGGTATATGACCGCTCACCACATGAGATACTCCGTAGCTCAGCGGTTAGAGCATCCGACCGGTGTACTGAAGGTCATGGGTTCAAATCCCATCAGGGACTCAATTTTTATTCTTTGTCCCACGCTTGTGACAAACTGAATACAGTTACTTACGACAATCATCCACTTCCACAGTGTTGGTTATTTATTTTGTGGAGAGTGACATTTGGTTTGATTTTGTTTTAATTACAGAAACAAAGAACCCAGCAGATGATTATGGTATTACAGGTTGGTAAACTGATTAACGTCTGGTTTAGGCTTCTACAATATACTATTACGCAACAGTTACTGTTACAAGATACATGTGCTTCCGGTAGTTGTTAGTATTTCCGGTTTGCTCTTGTAAGCATGAACCTGTCAATCAAGTAATTATACATGTGCTTCTCTAAAAAATAGCGTGTTCACTGCATGAAACTTAAACTAGTTACTGTGGTTGGTTGATTCACCAAAATTACACTTATTTTACATGTAACTGTAAGTATTTTGTTGTAAACAAAGGTAAAAGCTTTAGAGTAAGTAAGGGTTTTTATCTTCCTTTTTCATCAATTCTCCTTATGATCATGTTAGAGTTGAACTGGAATTACCGGTCAATAATACTTCAGTGTATTCAAAAAAATAGAGTACATTTTGTTAGGCTAAGCACTGCAGTGGCAACTACAATCCATGACAAAAGTAGCTGGAATACTCAATCAAAGAGACGTAATATTAATATATCAAACATGAGAGATTGTTTCATCCGATTTCCTAACACCGAGAAGAGCATTGACAATATACGACGCGTAGCGGAGTATTTTTGACGAAATTCGAGGTGTTTGGAAATCGGATGAAACATTGTCTTGAGTGTTTGATATATATTCTTAATCGAAACGGAAACTAATAAGTAAAGGCTTAGGGGGAAATAAAATCGTAAAAATATATGATAATTAATACCAGGTATCCAAGGTTATGTTTTCCTTTAATTATTAACGAGTTCGAGAAAGTATTATCCTTATAATTAGCTTCACACTGAAACTTTGTTAATTATGGCAATGATTTAAGAAATCCCTCCCCCTTTCAATGTTGCACTTCTCATGGATATTGTGTTGAGTTATTCTTCTTGGAAAGTCAACATTGAGACGTGGAGAGGGAGGAGATAGAGGAAAATAATACTGTTTATCGTTCCTACACTTTTGTCGAGGATTGTAGATCTGTTGCCATGGGGGTTACGTTTTTGCACTACCAATAAATATATTTCTCAGCATCGGCAGCCTGTGTCAGAAAATTAAACACATCAAGCATGTGAAGTTGAGAGCCACCGAGTCATCAAGCTAACACTGTTGTAAGGCACCGGAATGATCATAGTCTTAATTCACAAGCTAATCAATGAACCAAGCTTATTTTTTTGTTGCAGGACTCTTCTCTTGCCTCCATTTCCTTGTTTACGAAAGCTGGAATTGTCATCCATTTTTGGAGCTGTTGCTTGGATACGTGAAAGGGGATGAGTCTGTTGTCAATACCTTTGACTGTCATGGCCGCACACCCCTTCATTTAGCAGTCAAGTGGGGAAATGCCAAAGCTGCTAAACTAATGGTACTGAACAGTTCTATCTCATGCAATACACATGCACCTTTGGGTCTGGTTGTTCAAAGCAAGCATTAAGTGGCAATTTCTAGGTGGCTTATTAGGCCAATGCTCAACTCCGGTTTCCATAGCATGAAGCGACTGGGAGTATTGCTACTCCCCTGGATGAGATTCTACAGTCCATCACAAGTAACCCCAGCATTTGTGACAGGTTGCCCTGACAAGTGTCTTGCCCAAGAACACAGCACAATGACACCGGCCAGGGCTCGAACCCAGACCGCGCAATCCAGAGTCCAATGCGCTAACCATTTGGCCACTGTGTCTCCCACTCAATGTCGTAACTGCAACAAGAGATTGATTCAAAATACCACACCAAAACACAATTACTAACCAACAGTGATTTGAACGCCATGTAATTAAGCTAATCCAAGATTAGCATCAACTTCAGATTCAGTTTCAATAAATTATTCTCTTTCTCTCTCCAAAATTGTTAACTTTGAACAATGTCAAACTTTAACAGTGGCCAACTTTTAATCCCAGATTAGCATATCAGCTTTCAAACAACCAAGCCCAGAATTTGGAATCAATTGTTTCGTTTTGTCTTATTTAGATTGATAATGGTGCAGGTGTGAATATTTTGTCATTGAATGCGAAAGAGGATGGACTGGCAACACCCCTGATTATGGCTGCAAGGTGTGGATATTAATTTTATTGTCTTTTTTGTTGATAGGTCATTGAATCTTGACTGTAAAAGAGCAATGTTTTTCTCTGTAGGTGGATCTTTGCTTGTGAAAACGGTTTACTTCATTATCCTAAATTGACAGAAATCACAAAACTTGAACATTTCACAGATTGATAGAGGATCTAGATCTTTTAGATTTAACTTTGCGGTATGCAAGTTGAATATCAAAACAAGGTGTTTTAATGCAGCTAAAAAAACAAGCACTTTGTGCTGTACATTATTTTGCATGGAAGTTGAAATTTAAAGTAAACTAAAGTGAAGATAAACGTGTTAAAAATGATACTTCAAAGTTGAAACACAGAACTTTATTAAGCAAATATTTCATTTCTGTCCTAATCGCTGCTACTGTAACTCCATAAATGTTTGCATATAGCTATTCAGGGTCCTATCTAGGATTTTTCGTTTGGGGGAGAAGTTTCGAGTGGGCGAAGGGTACGAGTGAAATTTTTTGAAATGGATATGTGCTGAGATGCAATCTGGTGTATTTTGAGACACAACATATTGTCACAGTAGTATTTTATATTGTTTGTTAGGCATCACATGATCAGGTTTTGACAATGTTAGCTCGGCTGAGACGAAGAGTTCTCGACATCTTATTGCACTATTTATACATTACAAAGAAGTGAATAAAAGAGATAAACATATAGTGTCCTATAGTGTCCTGGGATATGGAATGCTTACCTCATGTACACTGACCTGAATGATATATTTATCTATGTACTGTAATTACCACATCTTTTTTGGGGGGGTGGACGCTTCCACCCCTCAACCCCTCTAGATAGAACCCTGCCATTCATTTGAGTCAAGTTGTGATATTTTGTTGTTTTGTAGGCCAGCCAATGTATCTCTCGCTACCCTGCAAGATTTGTTGGAAGCTAAAGCAGATCCTGATATTGTTGATAACGTTGGTCGCACAGCTCTGTCATGGGCAGTTACCAATCGAACTGGTATGGTACCCTTACAATTTTAATTAGCTTTTGGTCATGAGCTAGGAAATTACAATCAAACCATGTCAAGCATTCCTTAAGAGAAAATGTAGGAGCCAGGAACCAAAACCACTGTCTGTAATAACGAGGTGTCTACTGTATTAAACAAGAAGTTCCAATATAAAAGGAATTGCACCCTCTACATTCCACTCCTTTCAGGTGCGAAATGCTAATTTAGTACTCTTGCAGTCATGGCTCATTGTGGAGTCAAGCGGCCTGTAAACTAAACATGCTTCAAAATCTCACGAAACTAAAATATACCATTAACATTAAGATATAACTTGCTAATGTTTTAATAGAAACGCATTTTTATCAGTAAAGGTCGTAGAAAAAAGCACATGTTGTTTGTCAGCTGTTTACGCTTTGATGGTTGATTGACAACTACAATCATGGTCGATAGTCCTTGGGACACTCGATCAAATTCATGTAATTCACATGACAATTGTACTTCTCCGTCATTAAAAGTAAGTTTTGTACGCTACCCCCCAAACAATGTTGAAATGTCAGACTGGTCGCACTTGCTACATGAATGCAACATTGATCGGGGGAGGGGGTGGGGGGGGGGGGTGGGTAAAATCTAGCGTTTTTTGTTAAAAACATGAAAAATATCTGAAAAGTACAAACTGTCCCAAGGCGTCTGTCCGTGATTGTAGGTGTAAGAATGTCCAGGCCAGGCCCCTTTTATACTGGAACGTCTTGTTTAAGCAGGTGTTCATAAAGCAGGGTTCGATTGTATCTGGTTTTGTTTTAGCTTGTTTTCGAGGTACCGTTGCATCTTATTTCTTGTTTTCCTGTCACAGACACTAACTCCACCCCTCTGAAGCTCTGCACAGCATTACTTGAAGCTGGTGCTGATGTGAACAGTGCAGATAAGAAGCAGCGTACTACCCTTCATTACTCTGTAAACTGTACAACTGGTGGCTTTGAGACACTCACTGAGGTGGAGGATGTGTTGATCAAGTTTGGAGCAAATACAGTTGCATTGGATTTACATAACAGGATCCCTCTTCACTATGCATTTGTGAAAATGAACAACAGGTGAGATGGCTGGTTGATGTTTTTTTACCTCAGTCCATGCCAAGGGCGTAGCTAGGCCTTGGTAACGTTGGGAATATGTAATTTCTCTCACATTGGTGAAGGCCTACTTAGCATTATTATGCAGTGGATATGGTTGGCACCAGTCATAAAGAGGATAAGTGAAGGTGAAGGATGTGGTGGTATGTTAAGAGCAGATAGCGAAATGTCTTAGGAATGTTAAAGGAGCTATGTCACAATATTTTAGGTCATTTTTGCTAAGTGCAAAATCACCCTCAAATTGAAGAAAGTTTCAAATTAAAATGATAGTTTATTAAGGTAGAAAAACACCGAAGAGGTAATAATAAACCAAACAGGAACGAAGATGGTTGATGATGTAGAAGAAGAGAAGATTAAGACGGATTGCCAACGACAAACTTGAAACATTTAGGCCATTTTTTTCAAGATGCAGAGACCGTGACGTTGGTCCTTTAGTAATACTCTCGACAAAATTGCGCTAGTATTTTGGAATTCTGAAAATGCCGTCTTCAGATCTCTCTTCTGATGTTTGTAAATAATGTCGTTTTTTTTACATAGATACACAGATTACAGTATGTCTGATCCCATATCTGTTGTGAGCCTGCTGTGTGAAGCAATGTCCGAACAGGGAAAGGATGTCAAGGCACAAGTGAATCACCAGGACAAGTTTGGACAGACACCGTTCCACAGAGCAGCACTCAGGGGTGCCACAATATGCGCTTTGAATCTTCTTCAGGTAGAGAAGCATCCATGTGCTACATTCAACTGATACTCATCGGGAGCTATGTCACGATATAATATTAAAATGATTTTTTGCACTTTTCAACATTAACTTCAACTCGAAGGAATTCTAAACATTGTTCATTACTTTAAGGAAGAAAAACACAAAAGAGGTAATAGAGAGATTAAGCATCACGTCTGTTTTTTCCGCAAACGTCAAAAATCCCACTTTTGGCGTCTGCCGTTTGCCGTTTCTACATGAAAGTGGGTAGTTTCGCGTTTATCATGCACCTCTGAATTCTTTTCGATTTTTTTGATGGATTTATTGAAGGTTTGAAGAAAAGTAAAGAGAATCTACTGCAACCTGACGTTTGCAGTTTGCTGTAGAACGTGATGCTTAATCTCTCTAGACTATATGACCGAAAAGGAATACGGATGATATGGTTAAGATTGGGTAAGAATGGGACGGATTATCAACAGATTGCTGAAAGATAGATTGTCCACCGTGGACTGGTTGTTTTCACGCATTAACTCTTGTGTCGCATGTCATTCTTTTTGTCCACAGAAAGGTGGATCACTGGAGATCAAAGATAATGATGACAACACTCCACTGTCATTAGCTCTACGCGAGAGTCATGATGGGTAATGCGATTTTTACAAATTTCAATAACTAACTCTGTTTGCTTTTATTTTCGGTCTGCTGAGCTCAGTTATTGTTTATTGTACTGTTGTTGTTGTTGTTCTTCTTCTTCTTCTTCTTCTTCTTCTTCTTCTTCTTCTTCTTCTTCTTTTCTTCTTCTTCTTCTTCTTCTTCTTCTTCTGCTTCTTCTTCTTCTTCTTTTCTTCTTCTTTTCTTCTGCTTCTTCTTCTTCTGCTTCTTTCTTCTGCTTCTGCTTCTGCTTCTGCTTCTGCTTCTGCTTCTGCTTCTGCTTCTGCTTCTGCTTCTGCTTCTGCTTCTGCTTCTGCTTCTGCTTCTGCTTCTGCTTCTGCTTCTGCTTCTGCTTCTGCTTCTGCTTCTGCTTCTGCTTCTGCTTCTGCTTCTGCTTCTGCTTCTGCTTCTGCTTCTGCTTCTGCTTCTGCTTCTGCTTCTGCTTCTGCTTCTGCTTCTGCTTCTACTTCTACTTCTACTTCTGCTTCTGCCTCTGCTTCTGCTTCTGCTTCTTCTTCTTCTTCTTCTTCTGCTTCTGCCTCTGCTTCGTCTTCTTCGTATTCTCGAAAAACACTTTGGTGCAGTAATATGTCAGGGACAAAACAGTCAGGGACAAAACTACAACCAATACATATTTGGCTCACATTACATTTTTCACACACTTGCTACCAGTTACATTAGGTTTTCGTTTCACTTTGCCATATATTTCTACAGGAATTATGAAATCTCTAGAAATTAGCTGCAGTCTGTTCAACCAAAGCAATTAAATTCGGAACTAAGTAAGAAAGCGCATTATTACATTAATGATCTCTTCCAATTTGTAAATGCCTACATCTGCAACTTCTCATTCTTTCTTGTTTCAAATAGTTTATACTAGATGTATGCATAATAATGCACCAAAATCAATCATACGTAATTAGAAAAGCGGTTGATGTGTAGCACTATAAAATCCTTACACTCGCTCTTTTTTTTGTTAAAAATGTATTGTTTTCTCTTCTATAGTTGTGCCATGATGTTTATGCAGAGCAATGCACCAGCATCGTGTCCAGTTATAAAACCCCTCACGCCAGAGGACTGGAAAACATATGAAAAAGAGTGAGTGATGTATTTAATTCATTCCAAATTTATTGAAAGGTCACTAGAACGTGACGCGTCTGGTTCTCTAAAACACGT